TTTTCAGAAGTCATCTGCTTCAGAGATAAAATGTGCTATTTATTATGTATTTTGATATGTTGAATTCAAACATGACAATTAAAACAACTGATTGGCTACTGTTTCCAAGATATTTAAGTTTTTACATTTTACATCTATGTATATTGTGTAGCTAGTAGAGTTTTAATCATAAATTGTAAACCTAGGTCTTTTCATGTGTTTATGGTTGCTTTACATGATAATATTTCACCTGTCCTGTTTATGTAACACTTTAAAAATCAGCAAAAGGGTTATATAAATAAAATTTATTATGAAACAAAAGGCAAAAAACTATTATGTACATAGTTTAGTTCTATTCAGTGTCTACTCAGCGTTTCTTGGCTTGTCTCTTGTATTCATTAAATGGAGCATCTCTTGTCACTGTCCAGCAATAGTCTGCAAGCATTGATAGGCTCCATTTGCCCTGATAGTGTTTCTCCATTGTTGCAATGTCCTGGTGAAATCGCTCGCCATGCTCGTCGCTCAATGCCCCGCAGTTCGGTGGAAAATAATCTAGATGAGAGTGCAAAAAATGTATCTTTAGTGACATGTTGCAACCAAGGCTTTTGTATGCCTTGAGGAGGTTTTCCAAGAACAACCTGTAGTTGTCTGCCTTTTTGTCTGCACCTGTTTGGACATGGTCGGCACCTGTTGTCGTAGTGCTTTGATTGCTGATTGAAAGGTGTTGGTTTGCACCTCTGCACGAATGATCTTCCCTGTTTTCTTTAACAGGTACATGCATGCCAAGTGTCTTTAGTGTGGCTCTTAGTCCTTCAATGTATGGAGTGAGGCATTGGTGGATTTCACGAAGAGCTTGGTCCCTTTGAAAGGCAAATCTTCAACTGCTGGAGCCACAATGCACGTCTCATGATAACCACTGAGGCAAGGGATCTTGCTGCGGTGTCCGCTGAATCTAGTGCAGCCTGTAGAGCCATTCTTGAAATTAATCCACAATCGTCAATGTAGACTTCAAACTGCTCTCTTTTATTGTCAAGGGAAACTCAATAAAAGATGTGAGCTGATCAAATACGTGGTGTGTATATTTGGCAAGGAGTGCTGAATAATTGGATATTCTGATCTGGAGGCTGGCTGATTAATATACCTTTCTGCCCATCAAATCTAATCTCTTCCAGTCTCTGTCATAAGGGACTGAGTGGTTAGCCTGTTTCCCTCTCTGATTTATGGTATCCACCACCAGGGAATTTGAGGTGGGGAGGGAAAACAGATCTGTAAAATGTCTGCTCCTTTAGGAACAACGTAGTATTTTTGATCTGACCTTTTGCAGTTTGGAGAGATTGCGGTAGGTGTCTGCCAGATGGCCTTTGCTGTGTCTATGGGGGCTTCATTCATGGGGATGGCCAGCTTGGCATGAGGAGAGGCATGCAGTATATTCGTCAGTTTACGGTGAGTCTTTCGCATAGTTGACTGGGAAATCGCCAGTGTGTCTGCGACTCTCTTAAAAAGTTCTTGGAATGATTTAAAAACATCCCCTGAGGTTGGAGGTGGGAGCATGATTGTATCGTGAAGCACCCATGGGGACCCTCCTCAAAAAAGAGTGTTTTGAAAATGTGAACTGCTATATAAAATTAGTTCTGAAAACGCCTTTTAAGAGTACTTAAAATAACCACTTTTAACACAAATGAGATGGTAATCCAATTTTTCACATAACGCCTGTGGGGTTTTCAGGTCATAGAAATATACTATGTATATCGAAAACACTAGATTTAGCAGACTATTTTTTTAAAACAATGTAAATAGGAAACTTTGCTAGTTAGAAAGGAAAGAAAGAGAGAGAAAAGAAGAAATACCTAACCATTTCTGTGAGATTAATCAATGGATCAGCCAATAATTTGAGACACATGAAGATCACTATTGTTGGGAATCTGTGAATAGGAAGAGATCCTTTATTACCACTTATTTCCTTGCATTAATTAGCTAAAGCTGCCAAAAGGAAACCAGGATTGAGAAGTCCTACAGGCGCAGTTTGTAAATATAAGTGCCAAGCAGTGCTAAAGCATTCAACCTTTTTGAACCTACTGTGTTTCTTTCTCGAGCAGCCAGTCACTACTTTCTATTTTTAGCTTTTAAAGGATTGACAAATCTTCATAGTACCTTAGCACAGTGAGGCTACATCTAGACTGGCATGATTTTCCGCAAATGCTTTTAATGGAAAAGTTTTCCGTTAAAAGCATTTGCAGAAAAGAGCATCTAGATTGGCATGGACGCTTTTCCGCAAAAGCACTTTCTGCGGAAAAGCGTCCGTGCCAATCTAGACGCGCTTTTGCGCAAAACAAATCTGAGCTGTCTACGCTGGCCCTTTTGAGCAAAAGCTTTCGCGCAAAAGGACTTTTGCCCGAAAGGGAGCAGCATAGTATTTCCGCAAGAAGCACTGATTTCTTACATGAGATCATCAGTGTTCTTGTGGAAATTCATGCGGCCAGTGTAGACAGCTGGCAAGTTTTTTCCGCAAAAGCAGCTGCTTTTGTTGAAAAGCTTGCCAGTCTAGACCAGCCTGATGGTATAAACATGAGCAAAAATTGAATGGGAATTTATTACTGTGCCTTTAGGAAGTAAGACTTCAAGGGATGTCAGACACATTTTGACCTTTGTCTCTCAGAACAGACTCTTCTGGGAGATGCATATGGATTACTGAAAATTTAAAAAGTATTTCTTGGAAAGGAACTGCTGCTTTCAAAGTATTTTATTTTCTATTTTATCCTTCTTACTTTGTTTCTTATCACAAGGTGGGCTTGTGTATCAAGAATAATATTCTTGGTTTTTAATTAAACCCTGCTGAGTCACAGCGCTGTACTTTCCAGAATTGAAATTTACCTGCTTAGATTAACACTGAACAATTAAAACACCACCACCACATTTTAGAAGTGTTGTAAACATAATGAAGTTTCAAGTCACCGGGGAGGATTAAACACTGATGCTGCTGTACTCTGGCCATATGAAGTTAGCTATTCAATGGCTGCTGTTTGCTGCTTTGCTCTTTGATCTTCTAACTGCTGCTTAGGGCCTTGTTTTGCAGCTTGTATTTCTGCCAGAAAGGACAAAAACCATCAGGTCTTTAATTTTCAGAGGATTCAGACACTGGTGCTGTGGGGAATCAGCTCTGAAACAAGACCATCTGAACCTGGATTTGTTTCTTAATGTTCACACAGCTTTGACAATCTTCATACAAACTGTGATGTCATTGCTTTGCAAGTTTGCTATAGAGATTTGTAACTGTCAGCAAAAGCTACTATGCCCCAAAAAGCATGAGACAGGACATGATCCTTGAGCTCTACACATGCCACTCTTTAGCAGTGAAAGACGCAATCAGAAAAACTTTAAGATTCTGAGTTACATCAGAAGACACTGAAATATGGCACATGGAATAGTTCGCCTTGTGACCAAAAGTTTTTATCATCACTTCTAAAATGATCTTCCATGTACCTTCTATGAGCACAAATGTTCCAAATGGCTCAAAATGACCCTTTATCAGCTTTAAGGCCAAATTAACATCACAAGTTATACTGGGCTTTCAAAACCTCAAGTTCACAAAAAGGGGCTGCTGAAAAACTTTTCTGCCTTAGAAAAAATTCATTTAAACAATATAAAAGCAGCTCAGTCTATTTATATATTCAAGAGAAGGTTAAAGGGCAGCTCGATCATGGTATGCTAGCACTTAAATGTTGATGAGATTTTTGACAGTGGGCATCACTTAAATGTAACAGACAAAAGCATAACACTATCTAAAAGTTGGAAGTCACAGCTAGATAAATTCAGACTAGAAATATATGTTTCTAAAACATACTATAGCTCAAACTGAATTATGGACTTGATTCAGAAACTATTGGCTAAGCCTCTTTGACGTATGTTACAGATGCAGTAAGACTAGATGAACATAATGATCCCTTCTAGCCTTAATCTAGAAGTCCACATTTAATATATTTATGATGGACTGATATTTCTGCCATTAGAATATTTATGGATTTTTAAAATTCTAGTTTTTTAACTTGAGAAATTGTTAAATACATTTATGCCCTGGGTTCTCTTTTTTCTCATCGTTTCTTAGTTTAACAACTGATCTGCAAATCAGTTTACTAAAATCTCTTTGTGATCCATACTAATCGATATATTTAGTATATTAGGGGGGTTGTTTTAATTCTACTGGAGCATGAAGCCAGCAGCCAGCCAATGAAGGAAGCACTGTATGTGGCTCTATTGCAGCCATCTGAATCGGCTTATGGAGGGGATGGTCCCCCATTCTCGCCGTGGGGCTCAGGGCAACCTGGGGTATTATCCAGGGGGCCTGGCATGGGCTGGCAGCTGTTGTCATTGTGGCAGCAGAAGCCGGATCTACACAACCATCTGCTCCATCCCACCACCCATCTCCCAGCCTGCTGCTCTCTGCTTCACGGTAGCAGCCGGAAGTGGAGAACCGTAGCAGGAGAGAAGGCTGGAGCCAGGGTGCGCCACTTCCTGCCGCTGTGGTCAAGTGGAGCACAGCAGGCTAAAAGATGGGTAGAGGAGCAGAGTGGCTGCTGTGTAGCTTCACCTCTCACAACCGACCCTTGCTGCAGTAATAACAAAAGTTACACAATTTTAGGGGTTTTCAAAAACACTTTTAGCTTGATGTCATTTTAATCAAATAAGTGATGACTTTACTATCTACATCCAACAACAATATAAAGGTATTGGTTCATAACTGGTCAGCCTCTGAATCACTGATATTCACCTCCATCCATTTGCCAGGTAAACAGGAGAATTTTATGACTATATAAAATAACCAAGTTCTGAAGTTTAATTTTTGGTTTAATAAGAAATGAGCATAAACAAACTATGTTTTTCCTTTGTAATTACTATTTCTAACAATGGCTCAGTATAGCTCTAAAATCTATTTTAAATGATAGCCATACAACTAGATAGTATAGTAATTATGTTAGACGTTTAGGAAAGACTCTCAGAATGAGAAAGAATTGAAAATGTTTTACCCCTTGATGTACAACTTTTTCACAATCTTCTGCCAACCTTCCAAAAAATAAAATATTGATGCTGCTGGTCCTTGAACATGAATTCTCTGATTCTATAAAAAGAAGCAAAAAAAAAAAAATCTAGATTATCACAATCATTTTATACAAAAATGATAAAGGAAAAGACTCTACAAAACATTTTCTATACAATTCTAGTCATGTTTTTATTTGAATAATAAAAAGTGATATATATGTGCAAAATATTTATAAAGATACAGAAAAGCAACTATACAACCAACAATTGCTATATAAAAAGCATACTTCTCATGTGTCTGATCATAATTTAACATGTGCATGTACAACACATCAATGCATATTAAACATATAAGTGACAAAGCTTCCACTTGAATGATTTATATGGAAGACAGTATACTACCAAGTGATATCTGAATAACCCATAACTAGAAAAAAGTCCATTTACCAACTTTAATGTGCCAAGAAGCTTTCTCTGGTGAGCTGTAAGACATAGGTATAAATATCTGCTAAAAATCAAGCTTTCAATTTAAAACATATTTCTAGCCATTATGGTTACAGAAATAACCTTCCACGTGGAATCAATAGAGTCATTTTCTTGAAACTGAAAAGAACGCCAGCTCCTCTGCTGAGGCTCATAGATAGACAAAGCTGCAGCAAAGTGAAATTAACAAAACTCTGGGGAAGTTTCAAGTCTATTCAGGCTTCTATAGGCAGAGTGAAACAGGCAAGGATTGAATCAATTATACCTGCTGCTGCTCTAAGAATCAGCACTACAGAAAAGTTTAACCTACACGGTATATTTTTCAGGTGTATAATGTGCATGCCTACATAGCCCTCCAGAAAAGGTACAAATAACAATGTAGATGGTGAGGCACAGCTTATGCAAGTAGAATAAAGACATGCTTCAAGAGTATAAGTATGCACTTAAGTACATACCCTACAATGCTTTCTACACACCCAAGCCCTGCCTAGCCATCTACACTGCTATTTTTAGCATCCTGGTGTCCTGTTGCTTCCTCACCAATAGAGACTCTCTCTGCTGCCTCTCCTCTACCAGAGCTTTTAACTAAATTATTTAGCTACATGTCACAGTGTGGACACAGTGTGCTTTTCATTCTGACGTGTAACTACATGTACACTACATGGTATGTAGTATAAACATAACCATACAGAGGAGGGCAAGAACCCAAAAAACTCAAGGCACTCTTTTCCGTGACCTAATGCAATAACTAAGGATATTAAATTGCGCTCATTTAGCTAATTGTGTAGTTGATACAATTTGTATTGACTACACGGTTAGTCAATAAGGGCCACTCTGCAGACCTGCAGTGGGGATAGCTCCAGGAGTTGGCTCAACCCAAAACCGAGCAGGCATGGATTGTGCCAGCTCCAGGAGCCACCAATACCAGGCTCTTACTACATTTAAAATGCAGAGGCTCAGTGGCCCGGTCTAGCGTGAGCCTTGTCACGAACAGGGACTGCTTGGTGGCAGCAGCCCTGTCTACGGGAGAGCATCTCCCTAGTGGGACCCTTTTAGACAGGGCTGCTGCTGGAGCAGCTTCAGCCCACTGCAGGCATAGGCGGCTTCACATCAGCCTTCCCTATCTCCCACCTGTAGACAGGGCAGCATTGCAGAGACGGTGCTGTGAGGAACTGGCTTTTAAAATGGCTCACCCCAGCACTGGCTCCTGTCCCTTCCCTCCGCCCACTCCTTGCTGCCTCTTAGAGAGGCAGCAAGGCAGTGGGGTCGGGGAGTGAGTAGTCAATACTCTACTCAACTACCCAATAAGGATATGCTTATCAGCAAGACAACTACTTGCTAACATCCCTAGCAACAACCAGGAGACAGAGAGGGGTCAAGTAGCAGAATTTCTCCAATGGAGGGCACAATGGGGGGGGGAGTGAGGGGGTTGGAAAAGTAAGGGGGAAGGAGGAAAACACTCATGATTCTTCTCCCGCAAGCTGAGGAGGCTGTAGGAGAACTCTTCCTTTCCATAACACTGCACTGTGAGATACATACCCACTGTGCATGGCTCACACTGTCAAAAACCATCTTGTTAGTCTTTAAAGTGCTACATAGTTTGTCCTACTGTCAATGATGGTGCATTTCTTGCTATCATCTGTTGTCAGAGGAAGCAAGCATAAACACCCTTCAGCAATTTTTGTTTTGTCGACTTTTGGGTGTCAACATAAGTTTTGTGAACAAAACTTGGTAGTTTAGACAACAAGGCCTTAATATTCAAAATTAGACTGCCCATCTGGAAGTTGAAACAAAAAAAAAATCAGGAAGTGAAGGATCGCCAGTGAGATTCAAAGCCACTGGTGAGAAGGCCAACTCTCCTGATTGCTGGGGAGATTGCAGAGGCTGTTCCTAGATACTGCTCATGAGCTTTGACTATTGTATTGAGCTCTGGCAATTCAATATCTAAGTTTTGGAGTCCCTGTCATGACCTAGAAGAAATCCGTTTGGAGTGAGGAAGTCTACCATTGGAGCTGTACTGCTGCAAGATACAGGACAATAAATAACATTCTGCTACGAAGGACTGTGACTTGAGGAAATGTGCATAACACAGCAGCTGGCTTTGCATACTATGGGTTTTCCCAACTGCGTGTGTTTCGTTGGGAGAGGGAATAGTTGGCACATGTATTCAATTTTAGTTCCAGTCCATCTTGCCACTGAGTATATCAAGATGAAGAGATATTTCTTCATGTTTCTACAGGTGTTTATGGATCACAGTGAGCATTTCACAGACATTAACATGGAGTGTTCTGGAAACACTGGCCTTCTGGAACACTGGCCAGTACAAAAAGCTGCTGGTGGGGACTTTCTTTCCAGACATGATTACAGTGGAAAATGTGGAAATACCCACTGTGATCCTGGGAGGCCCTGCTTACCCCTTGCATCTCTGTCTCATGAAACTGCATAGGGCACTTGGACAGCAGTAATGAACATTTTAACAACAGACTGAACAGGTGCCACATAGTGGTTGAATACACCTTGGGGAAATTGAAGGCAAGATGGAAGTGTCTCTACGGCAGGCTAGACCTCATTGAGGATAATATTTCCATGGATATCGCAGCTTGTTGCAATTTGAATAATTTGTATGGAAGTAAAGGGGAATTGTTTGCTCAGGGGTAGAGCACCAAGGAACAGTGCTTGGCTGTAGAGTTTGAGTAACTAGACACTAGAGTTTTCAGAGGCGCTCAGAGGGCTGCTGTTAACATCAGAGAGGCTGTGAGGGTGCACTTTGAAAAAGAGGGGCATTGAAAGAAACCTCTGTTACTGTTGCTTCACACATTTGCTTCTGCACCATCAAATACAGCACATAGCTGGGAACATGCCTTTAATGCCTGCACCTGGAATTACAGTGACTGGCCTGTGACATTTTTATAATAGTTCTATGCTTTTATTTACTGTTTAACAGTGGGCCTTTATTCACTCGAAAGCAGTGCACTGAAATGCAATAAAGCACCCCGACAGCTGGTAAGGGAGGTCCTGGCATAGGGTTACAATTCACAGATGTGTGTAGGTCCAGGCATCATAATTAAAGTTGGGAGACGGGGTGGAGTGCATGGGAAAATTTGGACTCAGAGAGAAAATGTGGGAGGGAGGGGAGAGAATAAGGGTTGCTGGACACAGAATTTTTAATCTGCTGCTGGAGAGGGAGCAACCAGTGTTGGCTCACTGTGCTGCTTCACTAAACACTTTAGAATTTCAGTCTACTCCTCCTTGTCCCTGATCATGTGTTCGACGGCCTTCATGGCTGCCCTTGTGGGTCCTGAGTTCCCTTTCCAAGCACTGTTCCTCATTTGATTGATTTAGCATTTTACAAATCAAATCTTCTGTTTTAATAAGGGTGCTTCCATATCTGTTGCAACCTCTCTGAGGCACTATGCATCATGGCCACCAAGGTTTCTGATATTTAGCACAATGCACAAAAAGGAGTCGGTTAACATCGATTACAACATTGTAACATTTAATTTTCTAATATTTCCACCCACCTTCCCACTGACCTTTGAAAGGAATGCAGGTTGGCCAGCAATTTAATCATGGTGAGTGAGCAGATAGAAGTGGTGGTAACCATGAACATGGGCAAAAGAAATTCCAGTTGGGGCTAAAAAATTTCCTTTGCAGGAATATAGTTATAATTATGCCACACTTCTCCACAGCCAGGCAAAATCCTGGCAGACATTGCCCTGCTCAGGGTAAGCAAGGAAACCATAGTACACCTTCTCCAGGCTTGTGGCTTTCACCCTGCTCTATATGCAGCCCACCTACATTTCATATTAATCACTTGTGGTTCCTGCACAAGTGATTAATGAATGGTATGGATTAGTGTCTGACAACAGGGGAGGGAACAAAGTAGCAGTACCATGGAATCTGCAGCAGAAAATTTACAAATACCTCTCCAAAAGTTTTGATAGTCTTTCTCTGAAGGATTCCATTGAAATCAGTTTTCTTGGTCATATTGATTAGCTACACAGGGACACATTCAGCTTTGAGCCAGCATTCTACTTTTTCATGCCCCTAACTCTGCACTCCACAAGCCACAGCCACTTACCCTACATCTCATCACCTGCTTCCTGGTCCCTGGAAAGCAGTTGCTCAGACCGTCAGCAGTGGAGAACAGTTCCTGGCTGTCAGACACACTCGGTGACCCTGGAAGGAGGCCCTGGTCCTCATCTACCTTAACTTCTTCATTTACAATTTAATCCTTTGGGTTATGTCCTCTGCGTACTGCCTCCATGCCCTCCAAAGAATCCATAGGACTCTCGGTGGTGGAAAGGGGATCACCACTGAGGATAGCTCCGTATAGAATGACAGGGCTTTGGAGAAGCACCGGAGCCTCGATTCACTTCATGTACTTTATTATAGGCTTGTCTCAGTACTTTAATTGTCACTCTGCACTGGAGTGTGTCACTCTCATGCCCTTTCACACAAGGATCAAGAAATGTGCATGTATGTGTCCCAGTTCCTATGAGTCACTCTCAGCTGCAACTGGACATACTTCTCTCCTCATACACTGAGCAGATCTAACAACTCTGCGGTGGTCCCAGAGGGGGAGTGGTTGGTGCAATATCTAGGCATAGACAGCTGGGAAGATGCCATGAGACCATTGCACCCTGAGCCAGCCCACATAGGAAAAGTGTCCAGATGCTCAGGAAGCAGGACAAAGAATTTATATTTCATAGGGCTTGCAATGGGGCATGCTGAGTCAACTGACTGTAAGGCAACAAAATTCAAATTGCTGACCAGAGCGGCTGCTTTGGAACTGTAAGCCACTTCCTAGAGGCTAGGATCAGCGACAAAACACATCAAGGTGTCTATACTGTATGGCTGTGTCTAGACTGGCAAGTTTTTCCGCAAAATCACATGATTTTGCGGAAAAACTTGCCAGCTGTCTACACTGGCCGCTTGAATTTCCACAAAAGCACTGACGATCTCATGTAAGATCGTCAGTGATTTTCCGGAAATACTATGCTCCTCCCGTTTGAGCAAAAGTCTTTTTCCGAAAGACTTTTGCGCAAAAGGGCCAGTGTAAACAGCACAGTAGTGTTTTCCGCAAAAAAGCCCCTATCGTGAAAATGGCAATCGGGGCTTTTTTGCAGAAAACCACGTCTAGATTGGCCACGGACACTTTTCCGCAAAAAGTGCTTTTGCGGAAAAGCATCCTGCCAATCTAGACGTGCTTTTCCAAAAATGCTTTTAAAGGAAAAGTTTTCCGTTAAAAGCATTTTCAGAAAATCATGCCAGTGTAGACGTAGCCTATATGTGTTGGCAACACAGGGAGGGAAAAAGACAAAAGTCCCTAGTGGATTTGGAGATTTGTTGTTGACAAAAAAGGCCATTTTACAGACCATAAGTCACATTAAGTGTGCATGCTCTCACAGTTTCGTTGGCAAAAGGCACCTTTCCTTGACAAAACTTGCCGGTACAGACAAGGCCGTAAGACTGGAAGTTTTTTGTGATCGTCACCAAAAGGCTGTTTTTGCCAATAAAACTGGGTAGGGTAGACAAGGCCTGAATATCTTTTTTTTTTTTTTTTTTAAATCCCAAGTTAATCAGTTAAAAAGACAACTTTAAAATCTCTTCAGCTTGGAATAGGACTCAATGTTATACATTCTATCTTCTCTCCTCCCTATAGCCACAATAAATGCTTTGTTTCCCTGTTTCAACCATGGTGATTACTAATTAATTTGATGCACTTTGCTCTTCAGTTTTTCAAGTGATTATAAACTGAAGAAATACATCAAGACAATACATAACAGTAAAGTATTGCTGGAACAATCTTTAACAACAGATTACAAGGTTTTGTAACTATAGGAAGTCGGTTGAAGCATTTTCTGAGAGAATGTATACATAAAATTAAGCACTGAACACAACAAAGCAGGTCTTTTACAAGATTTATTAATATTTGTATCGCATTTTTTAAAGCATCCATTAGTAATTTCAGCAAAAGTAAACAACTGTATATTTAAATAGCAATACCTTGAAGTAGAATCTTGAAAAATTCTGTTCCGTTGCCAAGTTTAGTTAAAGGGTAGAAAAGAATAACTGTTCCCTGAAATGAGAGGAGAGAAAGAAAAAAAAATCTGATTTAAAAAAACCCTATAAAAATAAGGCTATGAGCAACTGTGGATAAGCAACAGAATTAACTTGTGGATGATTCAAAGCACAAAAGCCAACTTTTGGTCTGTGTCGGGCATGAATTAATGTTATCATGGCCTGACAAACAGACTACGTCTATACTGCACCTCTCTTGCGCAAAAGCCTAAGAAAATGAAAAGAGGATTAGCATATTGCCACACTTCATTTGCATAATTAATTAGGGGCCATTTTTGCGTAAGAGGCTTTTGCACAAAAAGGAGATGTGTAAATGGCTCCTTTTTGCACAAAACCCCCCTTTTGTGCAAGAGCCGTTCTTCCTGAAAAAATGAGGAAGAACAGCTCTTGCGCAAGAGGGGTTTTTTGCGCAAAAAGGAGCTGTCTACACAGCTTCTTTTTGTGTAAAAGCCTCTTGTGCAAAAACAGCCCCTAATTATGCAAATGAAGTGTGGCACTATGCTAATCTGTGCTTCATTTGTGTAGACCTTTGCGCAAGAGAGGTGCAGTAAAGATGTAGCCACAGATTGTGGGGGAGATTGCTGGCCAAGGTTAAGAAGATATAAGAACATGTATGTGAATTTTAACTAGGCTAGAAGAATGAGAGAAGAGACACAAATGGCTAATAAGTGACCAAAACTGAAATAATTACTGCTTTGATTACATCTGGTATATTTTCTTTTTAACATATGTTCTTAGACTTTCCTCCCAGAGAAAGGATAACTTTCCAGTGAGAAGTTAATTACAGCAAGTAAAACAAAGAAGGCAGGCAAACAGTAGCTACTAAAAATGTCGGAAATAATATTTAGACAGGAGGAGCATAACAAAATAATTAACAGAGTTACAAACCAGGAGATACAAATATGTAGGTACTAAAAATAAATTTGGGTATGTCTAAACTACAAAGTTAATTTGAACTAACAGACATTAGTTCGAATTAACTTTGATAGGCACTACACATACAAACCGCTAGTTCGAACTTAATTAGAACTAGCAGAGCGCTTAATTCGAACTAGATAAACCTCATTCTACGAGGACTAACGCCGAGTTCAAATTAAGTAGTTCGAATTAAGGGCTGTGTAGTCACTTAATTCGAACGAGTGGGAGGCTATCCCTCCCCAGCTTGCCCTGGTGACCACTCTGGGCACCACTAGAGAGACTCTTCTGCCCACCTCCCAGCCCCGGAGCCCTTAAAGAGGCACGGTCTGGTTACGGTGCCCGTGCCAGGTGCAAGCCTGCCAGCACCCAGCTAGCAGACCCTGCACCTGGCACGTCACGAACCAGCCACCCGCTGCCACCCAGCCCTCCGCCTCTTCCCAGGACCAGGCTGGCAGCTCTCGGGGGTCTGCCCAGGTCCGCAAGAGGCAGGCGCCCGCCTGGTCTAGTGCAGACATCGTGGACCTCATCCACGACCTCCGCACTAGGCACAGGAAAGGGGCCATCC